TTGCAGTTTTTAGTGCACAATCTCTATTTATTTGCCCAGTTTAGCATATTGGAAAAAATAAAATGTAACATAAAATATAAAATATGCCATAACTTTTGCACAGGCAGATTTTATTATTTTTCCACCAATACATTACATTCAGCAAATAAACAGTGTACTAAAATGCGCAGGAGTGTGTTCTCTGTAGAGGATACCTGATAGCAAGAGGCCAGAAGGCCACTATGCTGATGGCAAAGCTGGTGGTCCAATGGCGTTTTGCTCAGCGTTTTCTGGGAGGCCCACCAGTGTTTAAGCAGAGTATTAGACAAAATTTCACTTATTACCGCTTATTTTCCTCTTACAGTCCAATTTACTTATCTTTCCTTTCTTTAGGTATACTGTGTAAATTAATTTAGTAAGTAATTTTAGTCTAGCACACTATGTATATATATATATATATATATATATATATATATATATGAGGCCTAGTCATTTTTTTTCTCTCAGCTGTTTGTAATATGTGTCTTAAATTTTTTATTTTCTAAAATAAAAGTCCCTGTGCATTTAAATTGAGTTTGAGGTGATTAAAAACTAGTTAGGGCTTATATACAGGACAAAAATCTGGGTGGTCCAAGGGTGGACCAGCAGTGGCGTACGGTCAGCAGGGTGCCGACCTTATCAAGCCAGCAGACCGATAAATGCTTGCTATCAGCGATGTTTACTTATTTTCACTTAGAAAATCAACAACAACATGTGATTTATCTGGGGGTGCCCAAACTTTCACATACAACTGTATAGATTTAAAACAAGCAACTTTAAAACACGACAGTTTGGCAAACAAAACAAACGTCCACATTTTCCACACTTACTGCCACAGTAGTTTATCAGTGAAAGGCATGTTTGGTGTCAGATATCTGCTTCTTTAGCAATGAAGCTGTGAGGCTGATGTAGCTAACACAGAAACTTATACACCACCAAGTAGCGTCATGCTAACTGCATGGTTCCCTGATAGCAAGAGAAGGGTGGACCACTGTCGGCCCACCAGTGGCAAAGCTGGTGGTCCACTGGCGTTTTGCTCAGCGTTTTCCAGGCGGCCCACTGGTGGTTAGGCAGAGTCATAGACAGAATTCCACTTATCATCACTCATTTTCCATTTACAGTCCAGTTGACTGATTTTTCCTTCCCTCCTTTCTTTGGTCAATCTTTGTAAATAAGTTTAGTAAATAACTTTGATCCAGTTCAGCGTCACCAACAACACTTTCTACAGAATAATTTTATATCAGGTCTAGTCATGCTTTTTTTTCTCTCAGTTGTTTGTAATGTTTGTCTAAGTTTATTTTCCAAAATAAAAGTCTGTGGGCATTTAAAATCTGTTTGAGGAGATTAAAAACTACTTAGAGCTTGTTTGCAGGACAGTAATCTGGGTGGTCCGAGGGCAGACAAGCAGCGGCAAACGGTCAGTGGGGTGCTGACCTTATTAAGCTAGCGGGCCAATATATGCTCACTGTCTAAAACACACACACTCACCTTAAATCATGCGGAAGTGTTCAGAATCTCTACTGGACTTGCTTATGTGATTCTGACACCGTATGACTTACTGTTAACTATAAACACGGAGAAAAGTACAGATAAAATTCCCCAAACAGCTTGGCTAAAGCTCTTTAGATAGATAGATAGATAGATAGATAGATAGACAAGTAGATAGATAGATAGATAGATAGATAGATAGACAAGTAGATACATAGATAGATAGATAGATAGATAGACAAGTAGATAGATAGATAGATAGATAGACAAGTAGATAGATAGATAGATAGATAGATAGATAGATAGATAGATAGATGGATAGAGTACTGTGTAAAAGTCAGAGACCACCCTTCATTTATTTAATGTCCACTCAAAACTGCCATTAATTTCAAGTTATTTATTTTTCAGATGTTTCTGAGGAAATTAGATATAAAATAATCCACTTGCATAAAAAAGAGAAGAAAGTCAAAGGAAAATATATGAAAAAACAAGACTTTCTAAAACTGGAGTTCAAACAATGCTTAACAGAGAAAACATGGCTCCTAACAACCACCTGGAAGACCTGGTCGACCCCAAAACTGCCCCCATCAGATAAACAGCACTTAAAGCTTTCATCTCTGAGAGAGAGGAGAAAATCAAGCTGCTTCAGATCTGAAAACACCCACAGGTGTTTCTGTCCATCCTTCCACTGTGAGAAGACGACTCAGCGCTGTGGGTCAGAAAGGATGTGTAGCTGTCAAGAAGAACCTCACTGAGAAAAGGAGACGGACACATCAAACAAAGAAGCTGAACAATGGACTGACCACCCCAGAGTCCAGACCTCAACACCACTGAATGTGTTTGATTACTTCAGAAAATGATCAACCAGCTTCTAAGACTGAACTTTGGAGGTGTGTCTGCAGATTCTTTGAGGAACGGAAAGTGAGTCTCCTGAGAAGAATGGAAGCTGGAATAAAGGTACAGAGTGACTCACTGACTCACACAGCTGATTATATTACACATTATATTGATTATGTTATATATTTTATATTTAGTTATGGGTAATTTTCTGTTAAATGCACTTTCTGCTTGTTTCCCTGGCACTAAAAAATGCATATATTGTACTTAATTGTTGTTTTGACTATAAATTTAATAAATGAAAGGTGGCCTCTGACTTTTGCACAGTATTGTAGCTACCTAGCAACAACACTGTCCAGAATAGGATGCTTTTGGTTAAAAAGACTATGGACAAATGACTTTGTTGTTCATCAGCTTCAGTTTAAACTGAAAATATGAGTAAGAAAATCTAATAATTTCTTTTTTTTTCTTTTTTTTTTACTCCTTTTCCTTCACGGAAAGGTTGGATATTCCTCCTATTTTCAATTGAAAGGCCTATATCCTGTATAGTTCATGTACATGATGAACTATACGTGTGGAGTGGGTTCCATATTGACACCGGTGAAATCAGAAAAAGCCCTGAAGATGGAGGTCCAATATAAAGAAATAGAGGGACACAGCCAAAACATATGAAACAGAGTAGCAGGTGTTTGTTTACAGCGATCACAGATGGGGTTAACGTCAGGGAAAATTTTGGCAGGCTTACATTTTGAAAAAAAGCATGCGGTGTGCCACCTTAAATTGGAGCAGACCACGTCTTGCACAGATTGAGAAGGAATGTATCCTAGAAAGTATAGTGTCCCGTACCACCTCCGGCAACTCCGTACCCAAATCATCCTCCCAAGCACTTTTAATTACAGAGACGCTGGGTGGATTCATTTGAAAAATTCTAGAATACACACTTGAAATCACGCCTGGACAGGTGGGATCCATATCAAGAATAGAATCTAACACAGTGCGCGGTGGTAGAGGTGGAAAATGAATAAAAAGGCTGCGCACAAAGTGCCTAATTTGCAGGTACCTGAAGAATTTTAACTGGAAATCACTTTTAACTTGCTCAAATGACATAAAATATTATTTTTATAAAGTGTTTTTATACTGGTTATGCCCAGAGGTGTATATTTTTAATATTGGCTTTATCACAGGTGAGAGTAGCACTGGAGAGCAGAGCAGGCCTCCATCTGAACAACAGGAGAACAAAACAAGTGATGAATAGAGCTGCGGCACTGCAGCACTTTCAGAATGTAATGGCTCCCTCTAGTGGCCAATCTCTGAATTTCAATGAATCTCTGTGGAAACTGCAACTAAAGCAAAACAAGTACTTAAAAGGTGAATTGCTCCAATTTGTCTGACTGCCTGCACACTTTAATCATTGTGATGTAAACAGAGTGATTCAGAGTGGTTTGGTGTGAAACGGTTCAGATGTCTTTACAGTGGTGGTGATAGGAACCAGGGGTCGCCATGACTACAACACAAATATAGACATTTTATTTACTATCCAGAGCCACCAGTGAACCTACACGAGTCTTCTGAGGTTTAATATGGAATGTTTGTGATGGTAAACCTGCATTAGTGTAAATGTTAACAGCATTAGGCCTCGGTGCCTCACTGCGCTAACACTGGCACATTTACCTTACACTGTTCAATTTTTTTATCACCTTATTTTAAATTAGTTAACATGTTAATTAGTTAACATATATTAAAGTGCCTTATAAAGTACCTGAGGTTTGTGTGTCGAGGCTGATAGATCTTACCATGTCCGTTTTTGCAGGGAGACAGTAAGTGATCGTTTAAACTGTCTGCTGTAATGGAAAGCTAACACTGATGAATACATTAATAAACATAATCCTTCACACAAACAAACAACAAAAAAGCCAGACTCTAAATCAAATTCCTTTTAAAAAAATAAATATTGCATTGTCATAAATAGATCTGATACTGCTGTTACTATTATTACTATTATTATTACTACTACTACTACTACTTCTACCACTAGTGGTAGACAATAATTACATTTGCAGATATATTTGTTTTTTTTTTTCATTCTTCTGTAAAGCAATAATAATAATAATTATGATAATCATATTATTATTGCTATAATAATAATTATTATTATTATCATAACTACTGCTATTAGTAAGGGTATGCAGTAATTACATCTGTAGATATAATAATAATAATGATAATCATACTATCATTCCTCTTATTATTATTATTGTTATTGTTATTGTTATTATTATTATTATGATTATTATAACTACTACTATTACTAGTAAGGGTATGCAGTAATTACATTTGTAGATATATTTGGCTCCTTTTCATTCTTCTGTAAAGCAATTAAAATAACAATAATAATAATACTAATTATAATTATTATTATTATTACAATTATTATTATTTAAAACTGTTATACTTTTCTTTAATTTTTGAATAAATGATTGTTATCATTATTATTATTATTATTATTATTAATAAAAACCGTTGTCATTTTTACTCCTTAGTTTTTAATTTTAAAATAATTTTTGAAATTATAAAATAAAAGCTCCTAATTCCCTCTGCGCTGTCACATCCAACCCTGTGCCCGTTCCGTATTCACCACACGCATTTACGCTGTTTCCGCTCGTATCTTTAGCCATCTTGTGGAGCGGTTAAGTGAAGTGGGTTGTTTTACAGCGCTTCTGCTCTCCGCAGTCAGAGCGCCGTTACCTCCGACACTCTGCGCTTCAGCCTTAAAGGAACCTAAAGAGAAAAACAGAAACCGCAGCCACCTTTTCACAAACTCCGGCTGCTCCGAAACGGCGCTGAAGCGTCTTTATTTCTCCTCCGAGGTGGGTTTCGTTCGCTACTTCGTTCACGAAGCAGAGGCCGAGGCCGGCGGTGGATTGCGAGGCCGCGGGCAGCCTTCCCGCCTCAGCCCGGAGAAAGCAGCCTCAGCCCCGGGGAGCTCGACGGCCCACGCCGGCGTCGCTTCGGAGCCTGAAAAGCGGCGTTAAGGCCTCTCCGAGACGGGTTTGAAGCGGGGATTCGGTTTTTAAGGACCCATCCACTTCTTAATGCTCCCGCGGGCGACTTTTCGGGGCTTTTTTGAGGGCTTAATTGTGTTAAAAAAGTCGTCGAAAAATGCAACAGGAGAGAAGAGGAAGAGCGACGATGACGCACAGGCTAACGGCAGTTAGCTTCAAAATCTGAGCGAGAGACAGACTCGGCTAGGTTTCCTTCTCGGTGTGGATTTGTTTTGTGGCGGATTCCTGATATTTAAAAAAGTTTTTTGGGCCACCTTGTGGGTGTTTACTGACCCCTTTTCAGGCATGTCTAAGATGCCGGCGAAGAAAAAGAGCTGCTTTCAGATCACCAGCGTGACTCAGGCTCAGGTGGCAGCCAGCGGGCAGCCGGACGACACCGAGAGCCTGGACGACCCAGACGAGTCCCGGACGGAGGACATTTCTTCATCCGAGATCTTCGACAGCGTGTCCCGGGCCGAGTTGGAGCCTGGGGCCGGCGAGAGGAGCTCCTCTGAGGAGACTCTGAACAACGTGGGAGAGCCAGAGGCTCCTCACAAGCCGGCCCCTTCCAACGGTGGGTTCGGGCCTAGGGAGGTGGGAACCTTGCAGTCGGGACAACAAGGAGCACCGGCGCCTGCCCAGTCGTCCCAGGTGCCCCAGTCATCCTCGGGGGTCAGCAGTGTGTCCTGCAGTTCTCGCTTCAGGCTCATCAAACTCGACCATGGTACTGGAGAACCTTTCAGGAGAGGCAGGTGGACCTGCACGGAGTATTACGAAAAAGACTCTGACGTGGGTAGGACTGTGGACAGCATACGGCACGTGAATGTGAGCGAGCAAGGGACAGATAGAGACAGCGGGCTGGGGGCCACCGGAGGGTCCGTGGCCGCCCCGTCCGGCCTTTCCGGCCAGGGGGCCGAGTCGTCCGCCATCGACCCGGCTGCGCTTCAGGCTTCTCTGCATCCTTTTGAACAGCATGGTTATGGTGTTGGGCAGCAGCAGCAGCAGGTGCCTCCTGGTTCTGGGACGGTGACCTCTGACACCCTGGGTAGCAAGCAGTCTCACGTCGTTGTTCCTCATAGCCTTCTCCCACCTGGGCACAATGGGTTGCATCAAGGTGGTCACGTTCAGAAGTCGCCTGGAGTCGCCCCGGCTCCGCAGCCGCAGTCGCTGCTCTATCAGACCCAACAGCAGCAAACGCCGCAGCAGTTACCTCTAGGACACCACCTGCCAACCCAGCCTGGCCTGGTCGAATATGGACAGCAGCATTTGCCTCTAACCGTCGCCCAGACCCATCCGGGTGCTAGTTTGTCTGTGGTTCATCCAGTCAGCCAAGGGCCGTCTCCTGTCCCAACTCCAGGAGCGGGGGGCGTGGCAGTCTTAGGTGTTCCAGGCGACATGGTGGGCATCCCTGGTGGCGTTCCTGTTCCTGGCCAGCCTGGATCTTCGGTTCCAAACCTGCTGCCCCAGCTCGGGGCAGGAATCATCAGCGGTGTTGCCACTATTCCGCCAGGATCGTCGGTTCAGCTGGGACAGTATCCACCCGCAAGCATGGCGGTACCCCCGCAGAATGCCCAAACCTTGCCTGCAGTGCCCGCGTCAGCCGGAATGGGCAGTGTGCCTGTTTCGAGTGGGCACACTTCAATGCCAGCCAGCGGAGGCGTGCCCGTGCCCATGCCCAACGCAAGCTCATCCGCACACACACAGCAAGCCCAAGTGGCCCGCAACGGAACGGCCGTCGCCGGGTTCGGCCAACTGGAGGAGGGCCGGAGGAAATCAGACGTTCAGGCCCAGGTTCCTCTGGTGCCAGGTAAAGATCTGGGCAAGCCTCTGATCACGGAGGACCTGCCTCTGGCTAACCCCGGAGTAAACAGCCTGTTTGGAATAACCATCCCTATTGACGGGGATGATGACAGGTGAGGGTTCACTCTCAATTACACACACACTTTATTTTAGGGGAACTTATGCAGCCAGCCTGCCTGCCTGCTGACCAGAGCATAGGCAAACAGCTGGGTCACATATTATTTTGATGGTCTCACATTGTTTATTTATAGGCCCACACTTTATTTTTCATCATGAAACCTTAATTCGTAGTAGTCTGTACAGCATGTATGGTAAGTCAATAATAAGCATATGGTTTAGGGGGTTAACAGACAACAAGTTTGGGCTTGGAGTCTGGGTAGAGGGGTAAATTTAATAGATGTTTATATTACGTTCACTTAAAGACAAGGTCTACCAAGCATCCATAGTGGGCTTGTCATATGTTGTCATTTGTTTCCAGCCTATAAGCCCACCCAGGATAGGCCTTAATAACATTGTAAAGGCTGTCTAAAGTCATGGTGTCCTAAAAATGGAAGAAAACCCAGGAATAATAAGAAAGATGTTGGCTTATTTGTTGTTAGTATTACTTTATTAAGTAGTAATGTTGTCATTATATGGGTTTACGTTGAATAAGCCAGGTTAAGATGCAAGTTGAAAAGCTTGTGTTGAAAAATGTGTTTGTTTATTTATTTATTTATTTATTTATATTCTACACGAGTTTCACATTTGTAAGAAGTCACGTGGCCGTTCCCCTCCCAAGCGAAGCTCTGCCGTTGCCGAATGATTCAAATCCTTGTGGACGAATGTCAGTCGTGTTCTTGGCTCCGAGTCTTAGTGGGAGTGCACTGTAATGAACGCTGTAGGCCGCAGGAAGGAAGCCTACTGTTTGGCTTCTCTCGTTAAGGCCTCTTTTAAAGTCTGCAGGAGAGGGAAGAAAGAAAACCTCTCCTCGTGTACCAAAATAGCCTTTCTTTCGCTGCAGCAAGTTTCAGCTGAGTGAACGTGTTTCGAAATGATACAGAAACGGCTGTAGTTTGGTGGGGGGGTGGTCAAACCAGCACGTCCTCTGTATGGTCTGAAGTTCCTTTTGCAGTTAAGAGTTTCCTTATTCCTCTAAACTCTTGCCTCGGCGCTGACCCCTGAGGATTTGCCTTCGGTTCTCCGCGGCCGCGCCTCGGGCTCTCGAGTCGGCGCAGCCTGAGCTTCCTTAAGTCTTTCGAAAGGCGAGGGAAGAGAGCAGGCGTTTATCAGGACGGTTCTTATCGGGCTGTTTATCTCATCTGCCATCGCTGCTCGTATAGGGAAGTTTTTGCAGGGCAGCTGAAAGGCGCATGTGTTGCAGACCCTCGAGGGCTTTTCTGTGGCAGCGTGCCTTGCGCTTGATGTCAAGACTGATAACAGTAAGGACGAGAAGAAACACATCGCACATAAACTGGTGATAGTTCTCAAAATAAATATAAAACAGAGTAGTTTTGTGGTCGATATGCTCCAGAAATAAGACTAAGCGAATTATTATTTGATGCAAAAGCAGCATAAAAAAAACTAAATAAAAAAAATGGTGACACGGTTTCGGTTGAGAAGTGTCGCTGCTCTGCTTCCTCTCGAACGCTCAACTTTCGGTTCCTGAGTTGCACGTTTGCGCGCAATTCATCAACTTGGTTGGCAAGCTTCAAAGGAAATGGTGAACTGTCAAGTGGCTCTGCGGCTTCACTTCGTACGTACGCAGTGAGGTGTGCGACATGAAAGCCCGTGTGCTGCTGCTTCTTCTTCTTCTTCTTCTTCTTCTTCTTCTCACACAGAATGCTGCTTTGCCTGTTCCAGCTCTGCCAGCAGGCTTTCGCTGGAGCGCCCTACGTGACGGGCATTTGCCTTTTTCGCTCGAAGCCTTTCCCTCGCAGAAAAGCGCTTGTCGCTAACGGGCGACACCTTTTTCCCACTGATATGGAGCCAGGGGGGCGGCTTTGATAGCTAGCGCCTAGCCTATCGCGCAGCGGATGGGACGCCATCCCCTGAGCCCCACTGCCAAAGATAAGGCCACATGCTGCAGTGCAAATATGTTGTTTGTCATTTTACATAGCAGCTTGTCACCACCACCACCACCACCCCCCCACACACACCCCCGCCCCCTTTTCTCAGAGGAATACTTTGGCAGCAAATCAGATTTACGGTTTTAACACCTGAACCCGGCGTTCAGTTGATTCTGTAATTTTGCACTGGAGCTGCGAGGCTAATGTAGCAGAGCAATGGCAGCCTGTGTGAGCAGATTAGCATCCAGCTAACTGTGTACCTAAATCAATGCACACTTGCCTCAACCCACATGGAGAAAGTGGACTTGATTCTGCGTCTTCTGACAGTGTTAGATGTACTGTATAGATAAAAGTTGACATGTATGGTTCCTGTTGTTGTTTTTAGCTTAACTCTTGTACGTATAGATAACAGTACAGTTATCGTACAGCGGGTAAGACTGCATTACACTCACTCTACCAACAATGTATATCATGAAAAAGTAAAAAAGTGGTCTTTAATGCATTTTAGAATGAAAGCTTTCATGCATATGTGCATTTATGTGTATGCAAATATAAATACACATGAATGTGTGTATATACTTGTTTGTGTGTGTGTATATGTATATATGTGTGTGTGTGTGTGTGTGTATGTGTATGTATGTGTGTGTGTATATATATATATATATATATATATATATATATAAAAACATACGCATACACACACGCTAGTAAGTTTGTGTGCATGTATTTTTATATATATATATATATATATATATATATATATTTAATGTGTGTATATATATATGTATGTATCGATCGTATGAGTTATATATATATACAATATATGTATAAGTACATTTACTGTACTTACAATTATATGTGTGTATGTATAGGTGTGTGTTTGTGTGTGTGTGTGTGTGTGTGTGTGTGTGTGTGTGTGTGTGTCACTGCTGTCAGAACAAAACCTCATATCTCCTAAATGGTAACTTTATAGGAGAAGGAAAAAACATACATGTAAGTCAGTGGAACCAGAAAAATGTTTGGGCTGTTTCTTTTGGTCCATTCATCATGACATTTGCATATATAATATATATGCCTGTGTACACATATGTATGTATCTGTGTATATATTTGAAACTATATATACCGTCTGTAAGTCTGTTAAGCTTATTTTCCACAATTTGAGAAGTCTGTGCTTTAGACAGCACCTACCACCATGCTAATTGGTGTAAATAGGCTTCCACTGCTTGTTAGCTACATTAGCCTCGTATATCCTGCGCATAACTAAAGAAGCAAACTTCAGACACCAAACACGTCTTGGCTGATCAGCTGTATTTGAAATCGTGTACGTCCGATTTTTTTGCCAGACTCCCCCTTCAAAGGCACTCTGTCTCTTCTCAATGTAAAGGAACACTGGCTGCGTTGTGTCCGTTCCCCCCGAAAGGCAGTTGTTCCTGCGAGATAAAAGTGTTGAGTGAGTCGAATTCCCCAGGACGGCATTCCAGTTTAGTAATAACTGAAATATTTCCCTGAGCTCACACATCCTCTACACAGAGGCACGACAGAAATGCGTCCTCCTACAGCAGCACCGAGGGCTCGCTGTAGCCTGTACGCCTGCATGTTGATCGCCTCTGATCTTCGCGCTGTCAAAGCTCATAGTCGAAGCTTTGAAGGGCTACGTTTGCTAATGTTGCGTCCCTCAGAGTTTTTAACATCCGCCTGAAGAACTGGTTTCTGTTTGAGTCGAAAGATGCCGCCTGTCGTGTCTTTTGGGTGTATAGATAATTATGGGTAGATGGGGCATCGCTGATTATCTCAAGATGATCGCAGAGCGTTTAGTTTCAGTGCCCTATTTGAATGGGGGGCTCAAGTTTGATCATACTGACACAAACATACATCCAGCTTAGAGGTTTATGTAGGTTAACTATTTGCCAAATAGAGAGCTTAACAGCCTACACTGCAAAAATAGCATCTTGTCAAGTGAAACTATCTTAAACCTAGTCAATATATCCCATATTTCACCTGTTGGAATTGTTGTAGACTTATTTTAAGATTATTTTGCTTACTTCCAAACATTTTTTACTTGTTTTAAGTAGTTTTATTTAAAATAAAAGTAATTATCTCACTATATTGGCACATAATTATGCTTTTTTTTAAGAAATGTGCTTGAAACAAGCTACATTTTCTGCCAGTATAGTGAAAATTCTACTTAAAATTACTTAAAATGGGTAAAAAAAAGTCTAGAAATAAGCTAAATAATCGCATAATAAGTACACAACCACCTTGAAATAAGAAATATTTGTTGTATTGAATAGAATTAAGATAATTTCACTTGACAAGATACTACTTTTTGCAGTGTAAATATATATATATATATATATATATATATATATATATATATATATATATATATATTTCCATATTTATAATGACCCAGTAACCTTCAGATCCACAGCCTTCACCAGTGCCGAGTTCCCTATAGAGCTGCAGTGGAACTTTTTAGTACATCCGGCTTCTTTCAGGAACTGCAGTTTGTCAGGTTCTGTTCTCTTTTTGGAGCGTTTTGGTCTAAAATGAGCCGCTGAAGCTCCAAAGAGAGAAGCGTGAACACCACTAAAGCAGTCCAGGAGCTGAACCAGCACAGCAGAATGAAATTAAACCTAAGGAATTAGGAATGTGCAGCGTTTCTCGAGTACCCTGTTAACCGCAGGAGGTGCCAGTGTCTGAATACTGCAACCACTGTTGATGTATTCAGACTGTATACAGACTAACGACTCAGTGATTGTCTTAGCAGGATGGTAAAATGTCTCAGCTCTCGTTTGTGAGTGTATGTTACGCTGTTCTGCTGTGTAAACGAGTACGTGAACTTCCCTGTGTTGTTAACGAGAATGTCGAGAGCGCTCGCTCGCTCTAGCATGGCTTTTTATTTCCTTTTTTTTTTTGCTGGTCTAGCTGGTGTTATCTGGGTCCAGAAACAGTGAAAATATAATTCTCTGTCCACTGAAGAGAAAATACCTCATGTAAAAGATGACAAGTCCTCATTAACATCCAGTGCTGTACCAGTTGGCTCTGGCAGCTCATTAGATGGTT